CAATAAATGCTGGCGTGGTTGCGGAGAGAGAGGAACACTCCTACACTGCTGGTGGGACTGCAAAGTAGTTCAACCTCTGTGGAAAGCAATATGGAGATACCTTAAAGCGATACAAGTGAATCTACCATTTGATCCAGCAATCCCATTGCTGGGCATCTACCCAAATGATCCAGTGACACTCTACAAAAAAGACACCTGCACTCGAATGTTTATAGCAGCACAATTCATAATTGCAAGGCTGTGGAAACAGCCCAAGTGCCCATCAATCCAAGAATGGATTAATAAAATGTGGTATATGTATACCATGGAGTACTATTCAGCTCTAAGAAACAATGGTGATATAGCACATCTTATATTTTCCTTGAGCTGGAACCCATACTACTAAGTGAAGTATCCCTAGAATGGAAAAAAAAGCACCAGATATATTCTCCAGCAAACTGGTTTTAACTGAGTAGCACCTAAGTGGACACATAGGTACTACAGTAATAGGGTATTGAGCAGGTAGGAGGGGGGAGGGGGCGGGTATATACATACATAATGAGTGAGATGTGCACCATCTGGGGGATGGTCATGATGGAGACTCAGACTTTTGGGGGGAGGGGGGAAATGGGCATTTATTGAAACCTTAAAATCTGTACCCCCATAATATGCCAAAATAAAAAAAAATTAAAAAAAAAAGTCCCCAAACAATAAATGTTGGCGTGAATACGGAGAGATAGGAACACTCCTACACTGCTGGTGGGACTGCAAACTAGTTCAACCTTTGTGGAAAGCAATATGGAGATACCTTAAAGCGATACAAGTAGATCTACCATTTGATCCAGCAATCCCACTACTGGGCATCTACCCAAAAGAAGAAATGACACTCTACAAAAAAGACACCTGCACTCGAATTTTTCTAGCAGCACAATTCACAATTGCAAAGTTGTGGAAACAACCCATCAATACATGAGTGGATTAATAAAATGTGGTATATGTATAACATGGAGTACTATTCAGCTATAAGAAACAATGGTGATATACCACCTCTTGTATTTTCCTAGATAGAGCGGGAATCCATTCTACTAAGTGAAGTATCCCAAGAATGGAAAAACAAGCACCACATGTACTCTCCAGCAAATTGGTATTAACTGATTAACACCTAAGTGGACATATAGGAATAACTTTTACTGGGTGTCGGGCAGGTGGAAGGAGGGAGGAGGGGATGGGTATATACATAAATAATGAGTGAGATGTGCACTGTCTGGGCGATGGTCACCCTTGAAGGTCTGACTCAAGGGGGGAGGGGGGACAAGGGCAATATACATAACCTTAACATTTGTACCCCCATAATATGCTGAAATACAAAAGAAAAAAAATTATCACAATGACACTGTATTACACACCTATTAGAAAGGCTAAAATGAAAATGACTGACCACAGTAAATTTTGCCATTGATATGGCAAAACTAGGACTCTCATAATGTGCTGGTGTGCATGTAAAATGGTAAAATCACATTGGAAAACACTTTCCTAGTTTTCTGAAAAGTTAAACATACACCTACCATAGGAACCAGAAATGTTATTCCTAGGAATTTATCCAAGAGAAATGAAACCATATGTCTATAAAAAAACTTCTGTCGGAATGTTCATAGCAGCTTTATTTGTAATAGTCAAAACCTAGTGTTCATCAAAAGTTTCATGAATAAAGAAACAAGGGTATATCCATACAGTGAAATACTAGTCAGCAATAAAAAATAATATACTATTGATACAAAGCCAACATGGATAAATCTCAAAATAATTATGATGAATAAAAAAGCAACATCAAAAAGAGTGTATATTGTGTGACTCTAATTATATTAAACTCTAGAAAATGAGAATAATTCTTTAGTGTCACAAAGCAAATAAGTGGCTCCATGGAGGATAGAGCCGGGAAGGGCTTAAGGCAGGAGGATACTTCTAAGAATCATGATTTTGTTCCCTATGTTGGTTGTGGTGAGAGTTTCATTAGTATATTTATGTGTGGAAACTTGTCGAATCATATATATAAAATAGGTTAAGTATATCCTATATCAACTATATCTTCATAAGCCTACTTACAAAAAGAGAAAAAAAAAGTGGAGGTAAAGGATTGTCAAAACAACTAGGTCACCTATGAATGAGATGTTAGAGAAAGATGTCATGTAATGAAGCCTTCCCATATTCCAGATGAGGAAAGCCCAAAAGGAACTTGCCCAGCATTTCCCAGTCATTGCAGACACAATACTCCCCTGCTGTCTTGTTTCCCAGCAGTCCTTCCTCTAAGTCTATGGCCTCTTTTCCTACACTTGTCCTTTCCTCTACTCTAGTGCTCTTCCATAAATGCCTTACAGGAACACAATTTCTTGCTAACCATGATCCCTCTTATTTCGCATATTCCTGGATTCTCCTTGAGTGAATATGTTGAGTTCCTCCAAAAACACTGAGTCTCATGGAAACCGAACCTAACAGGAATAGAAAAGAGAATCTGAAGACAAATCCTACTGGTAACTGCCTGGAAGGAGTGGGAGAGGGGTGGGGATTAGCAAAGAAAGAGAATGCTAGGGCAAATCACAGCAACTTTGTAACCTGGCCAGAGATCAAGGGTCAAAATCAGAGTCAGAGAAGTCCATCTCCACTGCATGACAAAGCAGCTGAACAGAATCAGACAGCTCGGACAATTCTTCCATTGCTTCCTAACACATCTTAAAACCCTCCCCAAATGGATAAGATACTTACATGCTCTAGGAAGCAGGGTCCTATCTCACTGAGGTGGGGGTCATCATTGTTGTACTGTTTCTCCAGGTCTCTCACGAAGCCCATCTGAAACCTGTAGATGTCTTCAATGTTCCCAAAGATTACCTTCAGTTGCTCATCACTGAACATGTCCCTTCTCTTTCGGCACTGCTTCAGATAGCCCTGCAGACAAAGGGAAAAGCGCAGGCTGAGGATGTTCCTCATTCTTAGAAGGCTTTACCATTTCCTAAGCACTTGGAGCCTCATTTCAATTCCATGAAGTAGGGAGGGAATAATTATTTCCATTTTTTCATATGAGGAAAATAGATTTAGAGAAATCACTCTCCCAAGTGAGTAATGAAGAAAGCTGGATCACCAGCAAAAGTCTTAAGAATACAAAGACTCCAGAGTATAGGGCTTTTCCCTCCATTCTCTATGACAAAGACATCCAAAGTCAAAGGGCCCTTTCCTAGAAGCTGGTTGAGCACAAACATTTTTACTTGCCTTTGCAGCTATTGTTTTAGCTGGATCCATTCACACCTCTAAAGTTCTATCCCTTAGAGGACCAAGCCAAAAGGTCTTAATAACATTGGCAACAATTTGGCAACAGAGGCCAGCACAGGAAAACTTTCCATAAGGGAACAGAAATTGACAATACCAAACCATTTCTTAAAGCAAATGCCTCAGCTATCTAAGGTAGCTAGCCAGGAGACATCATTTGAATGAAATCAGCCAGCAAGCCCATGTGTGCCTGTACATGGTATTTCTAACAGGGTAGATGTTTGGGACACATTTGTGAATAAAAAGACAAATTAAAAATAAATCTATCCATTGATGAAAGAGAAAAGGGGATGAAAAAGATTCTTGGTCTAATAAGAGAGCACTGAGGTAACATAAACCAAACTGAGGGCATACTATAAATCAGGGCAAAAATAGCCACAGTCTAAACTACTTGTTCCATTCTGAACTTACTATCATGGATTTTTACCTGATGCTTATTTCTCTCATTAGAAATCAGTAGAAATGATTAGCACATAAAAATGTTCTTGGCGAGAATGAATTAAGTGAAATTTTCTTAATACTTTTCTCAAGATAGTGAAAAATGGCAGAACAGGGCTGACCTATTGGCTCTCGGCTCTCAGGGTGAGAGGTGAAGAGGACAGACAACCACACGCAAGTCATCTACACCTACTCTGGATTAGCTTGACAAGACTGCAAAGAGATACCAGGATACAGAAATCGTGGACAATAATCAAAGGTGAACCGAAATTCTATCACCAAATCTGGGGAGTCGGAAAAACTGTGGGGAGGGAGTACGTTCACACATCTGCCGCCCAACGGGCTGGCTGGAGGAGGCATTCCTTCCCCCCCCCCCTACACAGGGAGACGATCCCTTCCCCACCGACCCCCACTCCCACAAAGGCAGAGAATTGCCTGAAGGTGGTTGGAGGTGGCAACGTGGGCAGACGAGCAGTTTGGAGGGGACTCTGGAGCAGGCAGCATATTGACCTCTCCACAGCACCCTGCTGAAGCAGTGGGGAATGCAGGAAGGGTCTGAACCAAGCAGCCGCATCCCAACCCCACCGCCCAACCCCGCAGCTTGGAGACACAGAGAGCCATGCGGGAGTCCTTTCCCGGGGACCCCCACTGCTCTAGACCAGCCGAACTGTTTGTGCTTTTGGAGAGGGCAGCTCTTTGAGTTTACAGCGGTAGTCAGCAGGGAAAAAGCCAGAGCCCTGCAGCAGATTCCCAGCCCCGCTGCCGAGCCCCGTGGTTTGGAGATACTGCAGAGGGCAGTGGGAGAAATATTTTCTCAGGCATCCCCACTACCCTAGGCCAACTGACTGCTCGTGCTTCTGGAGAAGGCAGCTATTCGAGCTCCCATCTCTCCGCTAAAGCAGGCACAGGAGCTGAACCTACAGGTGCTGAACTAAGTGGTCACCTCCCCGCACCCCAGAAACGAGTGCCAAATTGGGCATTCTACCTCAGGACGCTTTCAGGTCCAGGAAGTGGGGACTCTACCTTAAAGGAGGCTTGGCCTTTGGTTACCCATTGAAGGTTGACTGGCACTGGGTAGACAGAGGGTAGTTCCCCACATATAAACAACTGGGGCTCTGTGAGCGGCAGAATTAGGGAGTGCAGTGGTCGCTTGAAGCCAGCCTACCTATAGGGCTGGTCTGGTCTTTGCATATATCTTCAGTGATTATTTGTCTGAGAAGGATTTTATTTTGCTCTCATAGATGAAACTTAATTTTGCCAGATAAAAAATTCTAGGTTGGGCTTTGTTCTGTTTTAGAAGATTAAGGATAGGCACTCACTCCCTCTTGGCTTGTAAGGTTTCAGATGAGAAGTCTGCCATTACTCTGATAGGCTTTCCTTTATAGGTTATTTGTTGTTTTTGCCTTGCTGAAAGGAGGATTGCTTATTTCACATTTACTTTGGTCAGCTTAATAATCCAGCTTTCCGCTGAACAGGGGACACGTGGTGTCAGTACCGCCAAAGCATGCCACCGCCAACCCATAGATTGGAAACGCTGAAGAGGCATGCTCTGGTAGTGAGCTCAGTCGCACCCTCTGCCCTAACCTGGAAAGTGGAGTTGGAAGCTGAATTTAAAAGGGTGGAAAGGCGAGGGTGGTGTTTTGTTCAGCGGCTGTCTCGCAAGCTAGAACCTGGGTGGTTTCTTGCTGCATTTAGCTGTTACCAATCTGTGCCCTGAAAGCAGAGCTTGCTATTCCTGAGGACTCCATGAACCTTTGGGAGTGGCAAGACATTCGCTTAAGACTGAGATACCTGTATATCGTATTTAGAGGCTTGGAGCACAATACAAAGATCTTGGGATACATTGATAACTGACTCCTTCCCACAAACCACAGATATCAAAAGAAAGAGTAAACTCAGTGCTTAAAACAGTGCCTCCCATTTCAATATAGTGGTGGAAACTGGTCTCCATCTCACTAGAGTGAACGATCCCTTGAGTGTCTAAGCAAAGGACCCAAACCCACTAAACTCTGTGGACGGAAGGTGAAAACATCAGGTCAAAGATAATCCAACAGGCTCAAACTCCTCTTAGATGATACAGGACCAGAACACATACTCCCCAGCACTTCCAAGGACCATTCCTTTGGAACTCAAGAACACAGCCCATAATCGAGTTAAAACCCCTCTGGTCCTCAGCAAAGTATCCAGGTGAGGAAGAACCAGCGAAAGACATCAGGAATCATGAAGGATCGGAGAGAAAAGTCACCTCCAAATGAAAATACTCATTCCCCACCAACTGACACCAACTTACAGGATATGATTAAACTAACAGAGGAAGAATTCCAGATATGGATTGTTAGAAAGCTCAACGGAGTTGAAGAGAAAATAGAATCCCAACATAGAGAAATCACAAGAACAATCCAGGAAAAGAATGAAAAATTCTCCAAAGATATTGAAGTAATTCAGAGAAACTAAGCAGAAATTCTTGCAGTGAAGGAAACATTCAAGGAACTCCATAATACAGTAGAAAGCCTCAAAAACAGGATAGATCATGCTGAGGAAAGAATCTCTGAGCTTGAAGATTATACCTACATGCTAAACAAATCAGAGGAAGAAAGGGTACACAGAAAAAAAGAGATAAGACCAAAGCTTACAGGAAGTGTGGGATTATGTAAAAAAGTCAAATATCAGACTGATAAGGATTCCAGAAGGGGAAGAGGAACATTCACAAGGGTTAGAAAACTTATTTTATGGCATAATGGAGGAAAATATGCCAGGCCGAGCTAGAAATCTGTATATCCAAATACAAGGAGTGCACAGAACTCCTGGGAGACACAATGTGAATAGGCAATTACCTCTTCATGTGGTTATTAAGTTGTACAAAGTATATGTGAAAGAAGCAACCCTCCGTACAGCAAGGCAAAAACAACAAATAACCTATAAAGGAAAGCCTATCAGACTAACTGCAGATTTCTCATCTGAAACCTTACAAGCCAGGAGGGAGGGAGTGCCTATCCTTAATCTTCTAAAACAGAACAAAGCCCAACCTGGAATCTTTTATCCGGCAAAATTCAGTTTCATCTATGAGGGCAAAATAAAATCCTTCTCAGACAAGCAATCGCTGAAGGTATATGCAAAAACTAGACCAGCCCTACAGGAAATTCTCAGACCGGCCTACCACAGTGAACAGGGCAATACACACTCCTCCAAATAAAACCCTCAAATAATTTATGTCTAGACCCCGAACTTCATGATGTCTCAAAATCTAAGACAAAGCAACAGGACTTCACCCATCAATATGAACGGAAATCTTACTCCAATTTCAATCTTCTCAATAAACAAAAATGGTTTAAACTGTCCTCTGAAGAGATAGGCTGGCAGAGTGGATAAAATTCCACAAGCCTACTATTTGTTGTATACCAAAAACACACATAAACCATAAAGATGCCACCCAGCTGAAGATCAAGGGATGGAAAACTATCATTAAGGCAAATGGAAATAAAAAAAAAAAGCAGGAGTAGCTATATTATTCGCAGATAATATTAGATTCAAATTAGCAAAAGTAAAAAATGATAAATATGCCCACTTCATAATGGTGAAAGGGAAAATCCAACAAGAAGATCTAACAATTCTTAATATTGGGGGGCGGAGCAAGATGGCGGACGAATAACACCGCCAGACAGAGGGTCTCTGCAGAAAAGACAGATTCTAGCAGAAAAAAACTATGAGGAAAGAGCAAAGAAAGAAGAGCATACAGCGGACAAGGGCCGGAAGGAGGGGTACCTGAGACCCGGGAGACTCCACGGGAGGAGGCTGCGGAGGAAACTGGAGGCTGAGACCACGGAGCAGCCCGGAGACCAGCGGCAAGGGTAGGTGGAATTTGCTGTTTCCCCTCCCCTGCATTCGGGACTTGCTGGTGGGCTCCCCGCAGGTGGAGAGACCTGCGGACACCAGCCCAGAGACTGCGCCGCCTGCCAACGGTGAGCTGTAGCAGACATGGGCACCAAGGTTCCCAACTTCCTCCGGCACCACCGTGGTGCACGGACCCGAGCCGGCGGCAGGCGCCATATTGCTCCCCCTCCCTCCGCCGAACCTACCCCCGGCTGCCCAGAGAGACAATACAGTCCCCAGCCGGAGGCACCTCCAGGGAATGGGACCTTCCCGTTTGGGACCACCGCCCCCTCCCCATGGTGCTGCTGGCACCG